CTTTTAAAGGATATATATTGGTATAATTTTACAATTTAATTTTGGCTTGAATTATGTCCATGTTATTTAGAGAACTGAATAAAGGAGGATGTTCTAGCACAACCTCACTATTTTAGCAATAACTTGAAAACGAAAAAAGATATCGACCTCCGGTTTGTGTATTTGTTCTCCATAATGAATAGTCTATCAATCCATGAAAAAAAACCTATATCGTTGCATTTAATTTTTTTAGTAAACGGACACAATTACAAAACTTTTCTCATTAGCGTCGTCTACCGTTGTGCAGGAAATTAACATTTTTATTCCTATATCATAAAAATAAATTTTATTAATAGTTCTTTAAAATGAGCCATCGTTTATTGAAATCGATTAAGGCATTTAGAAGTTATGACAATTTAAAAATTTCAAGATAGCGTCCTTCATACTGACGTTGCTATGGTAATAAAAAAAAAGTCCAAACAAAACTTGTGAAGGGTTTAACAGCGTATCTAAGTTATATAAGCGAAATTTGGAAAAACCGACAATTTTCTGTAACACTGTAGCAGTTGCGCCCCCTAGCGGTGAAGTTACAAACTTGAAAATATTTTAAATCGATTTCTTTTGGTCGTATTTGTTGATAGATTTTTTTACCCCGTAATCGTAGCCCGTCTAGTTTTCTATATACAGCCGCTCGATACCGTTAATGGATCACCCTGTATACTATATAAAAAAGTAGGTTGATAGAGTTAGCAATGGCCGCGTTCAGCCGAACATAGCACAATAGCAAGCTAAGAAGTAGCATGTAGCGCTCTATCTGGCGCGGACAACCATCGACCACAATTTCATAGAACATTAATCACAGTATGGTTATCTGTGACTAGCTATTGTCCCATGATCATAAAAAATAAAATTTGTTAGCTATATATGCTACATCGTTTTAAATTTTAAAACCTTTTCAAGCAGCATTTTCGAGTATTTGTAAGGTACGTATTCTCCAGATACTGGCTTGTATATAAAAGGTAATATATGTACGTAAAAGGTAGTATGTATATGTAAAATGTATATAAAAGGCAATGAAAATTGAAAATAAATTTCAACTGTTAGTAATACCATTTTACTTTCTAGATGGATATAAACGAACTTTTTGAAGATGACGCTAATTTGGTAGTTCTAAATCACAATTTTTTGCTAAATCTAGTCGAGCCTCATAGAGACGCAATACAACCTATGAATGTAGAGGAGGATCATAATCCTCCAATACGGATTGAGAGATATTATGAAGACACAGTTCCCCATTATAACATGGATGATTTCCAGAGACATTTTAGAATTTCTCGTAAATTGTTGGACTTATTTAATAAAATATTAATCATAATTATTTCTCATAATGAGTTAGACGCTGTGCCAGGACATTGGTAATAGGTTACCTGTTTACCAGGAGGGACTAGATAAGAAGATTGCATTTGTAGTTTGGATGTTGGCTAACCCTGAAACTTTTCGTGCATGCTGTGATCGATTTAATTATGCGAAAAGCACAGGGCATACTATATTTTGTGAAGTTATTGATATTTTGTCGCAGATGCTACCGCAACAAATTAAGTGGCCTAACAAAGAAGTGAATCGCACGGCTACTGTGTTTCAGGAGAGAACGACAAAAATCAGGAATGAAAATTTAATCAACGAGAATATGCATTCATTGGGAGACAGTGAATATCCTCTTATGAGAAATCTGTTGACCCCATTTAAGGACAATGGACATTTACTCCCAATACAAATTAATTACAATTTGAAATTGAGTAGTGCACGTTGCAAAATTGAGCAGGCCTTTGCACGGTTGAAGGGAAAATGGAGGCGACTAAAATATCTAGATATGAACGTTGAAAATATTCCTAATACCATTGCAGCAGCCTGTGTACTACATAACTATACATTAAAAAGGGAAAGAGATATTGAAAACTATGGTGATAACGAACCTGACGACATTGTACCGAATGATGAAAATCAAAATATTGACCATGAAAATAGAAATATGGCCCAAGAAAAACGTAATGCAATCATGGAGATGATATTTTGATTGATTCATGGTATTGATATAGTTGCTCCAAGAATCCAGCCGACTTACATCATACGAACAAATGAATAATTTGTTCAAAATATTTAAGAAACTACAAGAGAGAATAATAAAGTCATATATTACACTAAATGTTTACACTATATATTACACTAAATTATAAAAAAATAATGTTATTAACGTAACAAACTATGGAAAATTATGTTGACAATTAAAACAATTGCGCAACGTCACCCTTGACGAAAGTCGGTTGGATTCTTGGAGAAACTATACCATTTGGTATTGTCTATGTGAACTGGTCTAATATCAGTTAGTCGATACTTTTTTGCAGCACCTATGTTTTCATGAGTATACTCGACAATATAAATTTGTTAGTTTATCTGCTAAATATGTATTTTACAACATACAGCAATATTAGGTTTTAATAAAGTAATGTGAAAATAAAAATTGTCTTCAATTTTTTATTTAATGGGAAACAAATTATAACACATTTTATGTAAATAGTTCATAACAAAATTTAACTTAACATATATTTATCACAAAAAAAATAACAAATCGTAACTTCGTAGACATCAAATATAATTATAAGAAATGTAACGAATAGAAAAATCAGTCTTGCTTTTCTGCACTCTACTTTTTCATGTGGTAGATACATATTCTTTTAACAGTTTATTTCTCTCTTCTAATGCATCCACCATTCTAGTATAGGCATTGCCAATAAAGGCCAACTTTTCTAATTTTTCTTTTTCTATTGCAATCAGTTCTTTTCTGTAATATGTAAACTCTCTGTTTTTTTGTTGGTTTCATACCCTTTTCTTGTGTTTTTGAGCCATTACTTTCATGCTGTAGAGATGATGCTGTAGTCTGATTCGCGGTGGAAAAAGCAGTATTTTCTATGGAAGTAAGAGTGGATGATGGTTCTGCAACATATTGTACCTCGGGATTAATAGATAGTTTTGCCGGAGTGGTTATAGATGCCAACAGTTTTGGAGGATTTACTGTAGCGTCTCTACCAAACATTAAATACATTTCATCAAAATATTCCCAGTTTTGACGACACTGACCTGTAGCTTTGATTTTATCTTTTATGGAACGGTATCTGATTTTTAAATTTCGAAATTTTTTATCACATTCCTCATATTCAACCTTATACCCCTGCAATTGCATGGCTTTTGCAATATTCTGCCAAATACTTTTTTTCTTTATTTTTGGGTCTCGGTAATTGTCATTTTCATTGAAAAATAAGCTTATTAACATTTTTGTAGATTGTGGAGTCCATTCAAATGAATCTTCATCTGCCTTTAGAGCTCCAATACTGTGCAGGTAATTTAATCGAAAATCATCATCTAAAAAATACGAATTCATTAGTTAGAAAAACCCTTATCTTTTTGTAGTGCAATATTTACCTTCATATATTCTTTCAACTAAGTTGACAGGAACCTCACAAGTAAATTCTTTGTCTCCAATGTTAAATTTTAAGGGAATTTTATCCATTTTTCTAGCACAACAAAATGAATCATCTGTATTTCTAACCTAACTTTCTTAAACACTTTAAAAACTGCTTAAATTTGACATCTAGCGCTCTCTCCTCTCAAAATAGCGAAAATTAATTAAGCTACAAAACATGGCGACCGCTAGGTATAGCGCAACCTGTTAGCAGAAAATTGTGAACACAAAGCTATGCTAGCGCTACGAGCGCTAGCATAGCGCTGCGTCTGGCTGAACGTGGCCCTTGATTCATGAAGGTCGAGCCATTTCAAAAATTCAAAAATTCCACTATCTAAAAGCATCTCTTGTGGGGGGTTCTGCCCAGGTTATAAAAGGAGTTGAGTTCTCGCAACAAGGTTACGATGACGCGTGGGAAACACTCTGTAAACGATATAATAACAGTGATATGTTAATTCACAATCATATCAAAGCGTTATTCGGTCTAGAATCTTTGCACAAGGAAATGTCCTACTATATTACGAGATTTATCGATACCATAAATCAGCATTTATTGTGTTTAAAAAATTTGGGTGAACCAATAGATTCATGGGACACAATGCTAATATTTTTAATCGTTTCAAAATTAACCGAAGACGGGTTGCAAGAATGGGAATGGGTTCGCAAAGGAATTAAAACAACGTCCAACACTAAACAATGTAAAAGAATTCTTACGCGATAGGGATGACTATTTAGAAAAATTAGAAACGAAAGGTAGAAATAAACAAAGTTCAACAAATACACGGGACAAGCAAATCACTAGAGGGTTGCTCACTACAGGTAATTACGCATGTAACTTTTGCAAAAAGGCGCATAGTATTTATTCCTGCGATGAATTTGCAAAGCTATCCGTACAGGAACGAGTTCAATTCGCTGAAAAATCAAATTTATGTTTAAACTACCTAAGAGGGGGCCATAACGTCAAAAGGTGTAGGTTAGGTCCTTGCAGAAAATGTAATAAGTGGCACAATACGCTCCTACATATTGACGAGCCAAACGCGAGCGCCAATGAAAACAAGGAAAAACGCGAACCACCTGAGGCTGCAAGTAGTACGAGTGTTTTTGAATCTCGCGTAAAATATTCCCGTGACAGTTACGTATTTTTATCAACGGCCTGCGTAAATGTAAAAAGTATGGAAAATAAGATATATCAAGTACGTTGTTTGCTAGATTGCGGATCCCAGTCATCCTTTATAACTTCAAGTATGTGTCAAAAGCTCGGTCTAAAAAGAGAAAGCGCAAATGTGACGGTATCAGGCATATCCAGTAATTTATTACAGGTACAAGATAAATGTCAAGTAACAATAAAATCATTGTGTACCAATTATCAAACAAATTTAACATGTTTGTGCTGCCTTAAATTACGGATACATTACCCAGTAATAAAATAAATATATCTAAAATCATTGTGCCAAAAGAAATTTTGTTAGCAGATCCTGAATTTAATAAACCAGCAAAAATCGATATGCTTATCGGTGCGGATCTGTTTAGGGAGCTACTATGTTCCGGAAAAATTTCCAATGGTAGCAACAAACCGATATTTCAAGAAACAAGGCTGAGTTGGGTGGTATCAGGGCCAATGGGCTCATCATTTAAAAACGATACTAAGTGCATGGTAAACACGGTCGCAATAGATTTACATAGGGTCATTTCAAAATTTTGGGAAATAGAGGAACTCAATATACCAAAGCCGATGTCGGACGAGGAAATTGCTTGTGAATCGAGTTTCCGCGAAAATACGCGTAGAGCATCGGATGGCAGGTTTATAGTATCAATGTCACTTAAACAACCACCGCAATGTTTAGGCGAATCGCGAGCGCAGGCAATAAATCGATTCTACAGCACAGAGCGCATATTGGCAAAAAATCCAAAATTAAAGGAACGTTATATAGAATTTCTGGGAGAATGCGAAAAATCGGCTCATATGAGCTTAGTAGAAAATGACGTGGAAAATATCGAATATTTTATGACACATCATGGAGTTGTGCGCGAGGAAAGCTAAACTACGAAACTCCGCGTTGTTTTTGACGCAAGTGCTCCCTCTACTAACGGAATATCTCTAAACAGTATACAAAGGGTAGGGCCTGTCTTACAGGATGATTTATTTTCAATACTTCTCAGATTTCGCAAACACACCTATGTCATTTCAGCGGACATTGCTAAAATGTACCGACAGGTGCTGATAGAACCGGAACAAAGGTGTTTGCAAAAGATAATTTGGCGACCAAATCCTTCTGAGGCGCTTAAAATGTATTCTTTAAACACAGTGACGTATGGTCAGGCATGTGCAAGTTTCCTGGCAATACGTTGTATTTTCGAGATCGCGCGCGAATTTGAGGCCAGCAAGCCCAAGATAGCGGATATTATTCGTCGCAATTTCTATGTAGACGACTTGCTAACCGGAGCAGACACCACGATGGAAGCGTCGCAAGTCGCAAACGATATTTATAAAGTTTTAAAATCGGGATGTTTTGAATTGCGAAAATGGTATTCCAATCAACCTGATATAATCAAGAACCTAGCTTGCGGTACCGACTGCGGGATATTAAGGTGCGTCCAGACCGCAGCGCAATACCGCGCAAAACGTTCGCGAACGTTGCAAAATTAAACGAACATGACTAGTTAGGACGCTTTACTGCGCACGCCTTCGAGCACGAGTAATTATGTTCCGCTTGATGTGGGCACATCAAAGACATTTGCACGTCGAACGAAGCGCAGTTTGGACGTGATTATTTAAAGTTTGTAGTGCGCGCGTGCAACATAGAACATGAGTGACTGGGACCACGAGAAAATTTTACGCTTAATAAATGAATATGAAGGAAAGCCTGAATTATGGGATTGTGGTAATAAAAATTACCATCTTAGAAATAAAAAACATGATGCTTGGCTTCAAATTGCCACAGAAATGAAAAGCGACACAGAATCGGTCAAAACAAAAATGACTTCTTTATTGTCTTCGTTTCGAAGAGAACGAACAAAAATTAAAAATACAACAAAAACTGGACAAGGTATTTTTATTATAAATATAATAATTCTTATAACTAATTAAAATAGTCAATAAATTTTAGGACAGGAGGATGTTTATGTCAGCAAATGGTTTGCATTTGCAAGTTTTGCATTTCTGATGAATAAGAATAAAGTGAAAGAAACTGTCAACACTGAAACTGTAAGTATTTAAGTATATTTTTGGCAAAAATATTTAAAAAATATGTAGAATGATGTGTTTTTTTTTAACTGCATCTGCACTATCCCTTTTTTATATTTTATATAATATAATAATTAGCAGGACACATGAAATTGTTTTATTTTAATTTTTAAATATTTTACTATAAGCTGCCAAAGCTTCACTACAATCTATCCAGTAAATGATAAGTTCGAAATGAAATTGTAAACCTATGTTTTCATCATGTAAAATACACTGAAATGGAGGACTTGAGATAATTTTATGTAGTGTATTGAATTGCTAATAAAATAAGCTTTCAAACGAAGTGTCACACTCTACAATATGTAACAGTTGTTTCTCCCGCTTGAGGGCGCTTAAATAAGAATTAAGGCAATCAGCAATCATATTTCTATTATTAGAAATTTCAACATTTGCATTTCATAGGTAATGACTGACTACCTGAATTTATTAAGGGATTTATCCTGTAATCCGCCCTTTTAATATCTTCTATTCGTGTTGCTTGGATGTAGATCCAATTGTTTAGTGGATTGCGGGAAAAACCAGATTGCTTTATTGTCGGATCTTAACTATAACTTAAAATGTACAGGGTGATGCTAACAATATTTATTTCAGAATAAAATTAATGTGTTCGAGACTTTCTCGAACAATTACCTTTTCAATGATATCCCATACGACCCCTCGTTATTTTAAAAAAATGAGGGGGTGGCTATTACATTGAGGGGATGAAGAGGAAGGCAGCTTTTTGAATGTTATAAAATGCGTCAATTAAAATGAAAATTGTCGAGTCGGCACTCATTTTTTACTTGATCAATAAACGTTTTATTGAATTAGTTACAACCTTTACGTTCAAACTGTATAATTTTTATTAAAGCAATAAAGCAATTAAACCATTTTGCCAAACTACACTTCCATTATTCATAAATTATGCAGCTATTTCACTTCCAATTTCTTGAGCACCGTTACTCGATTTCCTTGGAACCTTCCTCACAGAAAGAAATGACTCACTTGGGGGTTGTTCTTGTCGCCAACTTCCTTGAATTAATTCCCCATTCTCTTCATAGTCCAGTGTTCCTCTACGTAAAATATTACTTTGTCTTAGGAAATTATGTAAGTAAAGGGTAGTTAATACAACAAGTGCTGCTTTATTTGGTTCTAGTAACATTGGTTTTCTTAACACTCGGAAAACAGCAGATGCAATTCCAAAGGCATTTTCAACCACTCTTCGTGCTCTTGATAGTCTATAATTGAAAATTCTTTCCAAAGAACCTTTTTTGTGTAAACCTGCATATGGTTTCATGAGATGTTCGTGTAGTGCAAATGCATCATCACCGAGAATAACATATGGTATAATCTTTTGCTGCCCTGGAAGAATTGCTGCTTCAGGAAATGCCAAACTGTTATCTTCTATTTTTTTCCATAATAAACTGTTTTTGAAGACTCCTCCATCGGAAATACGTCCCTGACATCCAATATCCGCAAATACAAAATTATAATTTGCATCTACTAATGCGAACAATACAATACTAAAAAATGATTTGTAATTGAAGTATTCACTGCCGCTACCTACAGGAGCCTGCAAAACTACATGTTTCCATCTATTGCACCTAGGCAATGTGGAAAATTCCACTGCTGGTCAAACTCACTCGAAATTTCAATGAATAAATGCCACTTATTCAAACAGAAAATTTTATTTATACAGTATCATTGTTTTTATCCTAGGGTTCAAGTATTGGAAATGAAATTGAACCCGTAAGCGATGGTGAATCAGAGGTGGACGTTTCAAAAGAAGCAGAATCCACAAACGATGTAACTGCGGATTTAGAAGAAGAATTAACGCTGAAACAAAAGACCAAAGAGACACCAACTCGCAAACGCAAACTATTTACATCTCCAAGAAAACAAACATTAAAAAAAAGTGTGCAGTAGGAAGTTCCGAGACTGGCTGCTGCATATGACATTCTTAAAAATGTGTCGAATACACCAAAGGATGAATGTTTTACTTTTGGTCAACATATTGCCACCAAACTACAAAAATTTGATAACAGAGTTCGCTCTATTGCGATGCATCTAATGAACAATATTATTTTTGACGCTGAGATGGGGAAAGATAATAATTACCAGAAGACATTTGTTGAGACACACTTTCAATCAAGAATACCGAATATAGATGCATCATCACCATCACTATATGCTCAAGAATCATCATCTTCATCATATGTTCATATTCCATCACCTAGTTATTCTGCTCAATCTTATCAATACAATCAGACAGAGACTTCAGAGACACAAACTCCTTTGCGAGATTATCTACATACTTTCGATGTTAACACTTAAGCGTATTCAGTATCAGTGAGGCCTTCGATACGGTTTGGCATGAAGGCCTACTGATGAAAATGCTCACCAACCAATATCCCATATCCTTTACCAAACTCATAAAATCCTACCTACACCACCGAAAATTCCGCATCCAAATCCAAGATTCCCTTTCCACCACCCGTCCCATGGAGGCCGGTGTCCCCCAGGGCACCGTCCTGTCCCCACACCTATACACCATTTACAACTCCGACATCCCACATCCCCCCAACACCAACATATACTTATACGCCGACGACCTGACAATCACATCCCAATCCGTAGATCCTAGATATTCCGTCT